ACTCAGCAGGCAAAGGGGACGCCATAGGATCTTGTGGGACAGGGGATCATACTCGGAGGGTGTGTTAGAGAAATCTGAGGTGGTGCGGAGGGCGGTTTAAGCGGGGAAAGAATAAAAGGAGAAAAGGCTACTATGAACACCCAGGTGGAGACACGTGAAGGCGTCCAGCAGCAGAGACGAAAGCAGGAGACAGTGACGGGACAGACTGTTAATTCTCAGCGACCAACTGGATGTGCAAGGTAGTGGAGAGGGAACAACCACAACGATCAACTCGGAAGTGATGAGTACTTGTCAAATTTAAGTGTTTGTGTTTTATGAACTCTGGAAGAAGTATCCAGTAAATAGTAAGAAATATGAATCTAGAGCTATAGAGAAGTCTGGGTTAAAGATGCAAGTTAGAACAGAAGTGGTCCTGAATCCACAGGAGTGAGCGACACCTCATGGAATAAGACAGTGGGGTAGGTGAGAAGCAGCGGGAAGAACCCAGCCATGAGTGGGAAGACAGAGTAGGAAGGGGCCCAGGAAAAAAAGCAAGGGAGCACTGGCACAAAGGACAGATGAAGAACCAATTCTGCTATTTTTTCTTGAGATTCAATATTTCATGTATGGTATATCACCATAAGAAAGTTACCAAATATCTTTAAAAAGATATTCCTCATTCATTCAAAGAATTAAAAAAAAAAAAAAACCAGTCCTGACTGGTGTGGCTCAGTTGGTTGGAAGTCATCTCACAAAGCAAAAGGTTGCCAGTCCAACTCCTGGTCAGGCCACATGCCTGGGCTGCAGGTTCAATCCCTGGTCAGGGTGTGTGCAAGAAGAAATCAATCCATGTTTCTCTCTCACATCAATGTTTCTCTCCTTCTTCTCTTTTTCCCTCCCTCTCTCTAAAAATAAATAAAATCTTTTAAATAATAACTTAAAAATTAAATATAAAAAACAAAAGAGGAATAAGAGAGAATCATGTAAATTTTCCCACCCTCTATTCAAACGCCTCATGTAATATAGCATGGTAGAGTGGAGAAAGCTGTAAACCAGGACTCAAAGGACCAGTCACTTTTCAAAGCCCGCCAATAGCTTCTCACCAACCGAGAGGAGACGCCAAGCTCTTTACCATGCCTGCCACGCCTGCCACGCCCTCGCAGGCCTTTCTTCTGCCTCCCCCTATAAGCTCCTGCACCTCTCTTCCTCGCTCAGGCGAGTCACAGGGCACATCTCGCAAAAACAGCCACACCCACGCTGCTAGTCACTCTCCTATTTTTATTTACTCACTTAACTTTTGTATTGATAGTTGTAAACTTATTGCCATTTTAATGTTCATCATTTTGACCTTCTTTTTGTTTTATATATACATATATAATTCCCTTTAGCACTTCATATAATGACTTGGTGATGATGAACTCCTTTAGTTTTATCTTGTCTGGGAAGCCTTTTATCTGCCCTTCCATGCTAAATGGTAGCTGTGCTGGATAGAGTAATCTAGGTTATAGGTCCTTCCTTTTCATCACTTTGCATACTTCTTGCCAGTCCCTTCTAGCCTGCAAAGTTTCTTTTGAGAAATCAGCTGACAGTCTTATGGGAACTCCTTTGTAGGTGACCCTGCATTTCTCTTGCTGCTTTTAAAATTCTCTTTCTCTTTACCTTTGGCATTTTAATTATGATGTGTCCTGATGTGGTCCTCTTTCTGTCCATCTTGTTTGGGACTCTCTGTGCTTCCTGGACTTGTATGTCTATTTTCTTCAACAAATTAGGGAAGTTATCTTTCCTTTTTTTTTCAAGTAAGTTTGCAATTTCTTGTTCTTCTTCTTCTCCTTCTGGCACCCCTATGAGTTGGATCTTGGTACATTTAAAGATGTCCCAGAGATTCCTAAGCCTCTCCTAACTTTTTCTGAATTCTTTTTTCTTCCTGCTTTTCTAATTGAATGCTTTTTCCTTCCTTGTATTCCAAATTGTTGATTTGATTCTCAGCTTCATCCTCTTCACTGTTGGTTTCCTGTAGATTTTTCATTTCACTTAATACAATGTTCATTTCTGCCTGGGTCTTTTTTATGGTGTTGAAGTACCCAGTGAGTTCCTGGGGCATCCTGATAACCAGTGTTTTGAACTCTGCCTCTGATAGGCTGCTTATCTCCATTTTGTTTAGTTCTTTTTCTGGAGTTTTGTTCTGTCCGCCCACCCCCCCCCCCCCGCCCCGCCATTTGGACCATGTTTCTTTGTCTCCTTATTCTGGCAGCCTCCCTGTGTTGTTTCTGTGTATTAGGTAGAGCTGCTTTGACTCCCTGTCTTAGTGCATCTATTAAACTGTATGGGGAGGAGAGTTAGGCAATCACCAGGGCAGGGCAACCCCTGTCACCATTCTGATGCTCTGTGTGGGGGAGGGCCCACAGAGGGGACAATGCCGCTGCCTGGCCTCTGGAGTATCGTGAGGGAGGAAGCTGCCTCCCTACTCACACTTGACTCTCTCCCATGTGCCACTGGTGCCCTTTCAGCTGTCGCTCTGGTGCTGAATCCCACAGGGGTGGGTCTGCGTGAGTCCTAAGTCTGTTGTGAGTCATTTAAGAGGAGGTAGTTTCTTCCGCCACCCAATCCCCACTTGTTTTTACAGCCAGAGGGTTATTTGGACTTATCTTCTTGGTGCTGGGACCCTGGGCTGGGTGGTCAGGTCTGGGGCTGGGATCCCTCACTCCTGAGGTGTCCCTCCCACTTTTAATCTACCACATGAGGCTGTGGGACCAGCCGTTCCTGTCTCTGCGCCTCTCTCGCCACTCCATGTCTCTACACCTCTCCATGTCTTGGCCCCTCCTACCTATCTGGGATGAATGTGGCTTTTTTAAATCCTTGGTTGTCAGACGTCCACACAGCTCAATTTTCTGACAATTCTGGGTGATACCTGTCTTGTAGTGTGGCTGTATTTTTTCTACAGTTGCGCACAGAGGCACGGCATGTTTACCTTCACTTCCATCTTGACCAAAATCACTTTATTTTTACTTACAGCATTTATAACTACCTGAGATCATGCTGTGTATACATGTTATGTGTGTTCATTTATTTCTTGTCATTGTCACCAGAATTTAAATTCCACGAGAGCAAGAACTTTATCTACCTTAAAGGTGTCTTTCCAGCACCTAAAACTATACCTGAAAGACCACAGGGTTCAAGAAAGACTCGTTGAATGAAATCCATAATCAATCTGAACCTCTTCATGCTACCATGTGTAAAACGGGGAGAGCGATCCACACCTGCTGTCTACTCTTCACACTGTAAAGTGAAATATGTTGAAGCACTTCGTGATGATGTCTCCTGACACAGAAGAAAGCCATGGCAGCACATATCCACGTAAACACATGAATTATTAGTGACAGCCTGGAGCAGAAATGCTTCGTTCACACTTGCTAGTGCTATTTTTATTTTGAACAGAAAGTATACCTGAGAAATACGTATCCAAACATGCAATATCCAAATACCTGAAAGAACCTACCCAGGATCATACTCTTCAGGAGGAAAAAAAAATAAAAAGGAAACTCCTGAAGATTGGGTTAGCTAACTTGTAAGCCACAGAAGCAGTTTAATTCCTGAAAAAAAAAATTTTTTTAATTGGAAAAGAACAAAACTAAATTCAGTGTTCTGGGCTGAATCGTGTCTCCCCCAGTTCCTGTATTGACGTGCTGACCCCAAGCACTTCCGAACGTGACCGTGCTTGGACACGGCGTCTGTGAAGAGTTAGCCGAGTTACGCTGAAGTCATTAGGGTGGGCCTTCATCCAGCAGGTGACTGGCTTCCTCACGAGAAGAGAAGAAGAAATTAAAACACAGTAAAACAAAGGAATTAAAACGGAGGAAAGACCGTGTGAAGACAGAGTGAGAGGACGGCCATCTGCCAGCCAAGGAGAGAGGCTGCAGCAGAAACAGCCCCTGCCAACACCTTGACCTCAGACCTCCAGCCTCAGAACTGTGAGAAAATGAATCCTGGTTTTGAAGCCACACAATCTGTGGTACTTTGTTGTAACAGCCCTAGAAAACTAATACACTTAATTGTTTTAGAAACCAGGAGAAAAATCATTGGAAAAGAGTTTCATAAAAATGAGATAAGCAAACTAAAATGATCCTTATAAATATTTTATTTCACTTTCATCATTTGTATTGAAACAAATGAGACTTTAATCAGAGTTGTTTTAAGTTTAAATGTGAGTTGTTAAATTCTCAAATAAATCCAATGCCCTTACCATACCTGATATTCTTGCTGAGAGAACCTACCGTTCACAAAGCAGATCTAGAAGATTTATCTAACACACAGCATAGAAGCAAGGGGTTCCATTTCTTTTCACATCTAGGTCCATCATGAATTCTAATTATTTTAATTACTAGAGTCACCATTTAAAAGGCAACTGCATCACAGGACTAACATAGCCTATCTCAAATTCTCGGGAAAACATCCTTTGAAATATAAACTAAACATGCAAACATGCAAATTACCCTATTTCTAGACACTGGAATTTCTACCATGTCTGGCACCTCTGGCCCTGTAGTGGAAAGTTGTAGCTTCTGAAACACCTGAGGCGCGAACAGAGGCAGAAAGACCCTTATAAATTCTTGACTTCCTTTATGAATTTGGAGGCCAAGTTCAGAAATACAGTTGCTTTTCGTGCCAACACATGAGTCCTGTCACTCACAGATAAAACTCAGGTCTTTCCTTATCTGGATCTTTTTTTTACAATTTTGAATTCTGGTAAATTACACATAACATAAAATTTACCATCTTAACCATTTTTAAGTGCAGAGTTCAACAGTGTGAAATGCATTCACACTGTTGAGCCTCCAACCTCTAGAGTGTTTCACTTCGGACAACTGAAACTCTGTGCCCACCGCACAGTCACTGCCCACCCTCCCCTCCCTCCAGATTGGGCAACCACTCAGTGCTGGGGCAGGCATAGGAAATGACAAAAATGTAAGTAAAAATTCAGTCTAAAGATCAGAAAAAATGACAAAGGATGGAATTTGACTCACAAAATCTGTTTCCAGTTTTCCCATTTCTTGCTTGTAGCTTCTCATTCTGTTGCTGTACATCCCTCGGCTTTGGGGCGGTATCTCTCGGACTTCCAAATCCATCTGTTCAAGCTGGAACGGTGAGAGAAAAGCATGATTTAAACCATGTGCTTCTTCTCTATTTTGCCAGATGTTGAGAGCTGAAAGGATTTAATTTCAGTTCCTCATTTTACAGCCGAGGAACCGGGTCCAGGGAGCTAACTGTCTGTAATCAAGTAACACTGGGGCTACTTGTGTCCTTAATTTTTGTTTCGGTGAACAAATAGTGACTGAGTGCTTACCCAGTAACCTGCAGACTACCAAAGCTCTTACCTTGTCAAGAATTTCTATTAAAACATATGCATTAATCCATACATCCTTAATAATAATGATGATTTTGATGCGCTTGAAGTATCCCATCATTCAGTCCAACCTGCTGGTCTTCTGACCCCAAACCCACAGAACTATAGGAAGATGAAGTAAACCATTATTTCTGACATTGAGCATAAAGCATCGGCCCAGCCTTCGTCATTTGGTAAACATTCTTCTGGAAAGTCTTTTCTGATTAGGAAAAGCACATACCGACCAACATGTGATCTCAACCTCCAGCCTGACTCCTTATACTTTATAACAGTGCTGGTCTGAAGTTAAATGGATACAGTGATATGCTAAGTTACACAAAGCCCACTGAAATCACAGCAGGGCACTTTTTAACCACCTGTCATTACGTAACACTTTGAATACAACACATGAGCAGGTAATGGGAAGCAACACAGAATTACGATGGTCAAGAGCACAGGCTTCTAGTCAGGTGTCTGCATTCACACTGTGGGCTCCACCACGTATTAGTCACACAACCTTGGACAGGTTTCTTAACTTCTCTGAGCCTTACTTTTCTCACTTCTAAAAACAGTGTATCTTTCTTTTTAAAAGATTTTATTTATTTATTTACTTTTAGAGAGGGGAAGGGAGGAAGGAAGAGAGGGAGAGAAACATCAGTGTGCAGTTGCCTCTCGTGTGCCCGCACTGGGGACGTGGCCTGCAACCTGGGCATGCGCCCTGACTGGGAAAAGGACAGGTGATCCTTTGGTTCGAACTCCATCCACCGAGCCACACCAGGCAGGGCTAGCAACAGCCTGTCTTCTGTAGGGCAGCTGTGATGATGAAATGGGGTAATCCCCATGATGTGCTTAAAATAGTGTGCCTTACTTGATAATCACTGGATTAATGTTAACTACAGTAGTGATGATTGCTGATGAAGGAAAAAAAAACATACAACAAGCATGATATAAGGTATCAGAGGTAACTTATTTATCTTTGGTATTAAAAAACGAAAACAACAAATTTGCTCAGACTATGTCTGATAAAAGCATTTTAATACGCATTTCCGTGAACACTGAAAGCTTGTCACTAATAAAACTCTTATCCAGTTTTAGAGACCAACTAACTGTAGTATTGTAGAGCACAGGGAAGCCAGTAAAACCATGTTTTAACTAACAGGTCTCAATTTTAATAAAGAAAAAAAAAGATGATTTTAATTAACCTTGATTTAAGCGGTGACCATTTAAATTATTGACCCATCTCAACATAAATGTGAAGCACCCATAAATTAAACAGTAAGGCAATTATTTAAAGTACCTCTCTGAAATCACCAGTAAGTACTTATTCTGACAATGTGAAAAGGATCATCCAGACAAAAATCATTGAAAAGTACATGTAAGTGAAAATTCAAGACTTAAGTATATTTTTGTTTAAAGAAGTGTACAAGGACACTTGAAACTAAACTAAAAATAAGCAAGCAAGAAAAAAAGAAACACACAACAAGCACCTCAAATGAAACCAGGAATAAAAGCAATTAGCATACACCTGTTTTGTGTTGTCACCTGAGGGTCACGTGGCCAGTGTACAGTGGAAGACATGATCATTGAAGAACATGCAGTCTCCAAGAGATTAATATAAAACAACTATTCAGCAGAAAGACAACTAATCCTAGTAAGTCAAACTTTAAAAAAAGTTTTTTCTCCCAAGGTCCTCATCAAAAGGATAGTATGTGATAAAATGAACAGTGTTCTTGACAAGAATGTCATCAGAATTAAGTGAATCAGCTTTCTGATCACTTTAAACAAACATGAAAACATATTGTAGACAAAATTCTTCATGCTAGTAACAACTAAAACTGAGTAGAAGCTCCATGAGGGCATGACTATGTTTTATATACCTCTTAGTGCAAGAAAACCTTGGTTATCAGGAGACCAGCTTTCCAACATCATCAAATTAATGATGAATCCAAAAGAAGACAGCCCTGGCTGGGTGGCTCAGTTGTTTGGAGCATCTTCCTGGACACCACAAGGTAGTGGGTTAGCTGCTGGTCAGGGCACATACCTAGGTAGCGGTTCGATCCCCAGTTGGGGCACGTATGGGAAGCCACCAATCGAAGTTTCTCTCTCATGACGACGTCTCTATCTCCCTTTCTCTCTCCTCCCGCCACCACTGTTGGGGACCACTCTCTGTAGTTTCGGATATTGCAGCTCCATGAGAGCAGGGTCTGAAAGGGGCTAGTAAGTCTCCCTGGAAAACCAGGTGAAAACGCAGGTGGCAGGCATGACGTGACTCTAACACTGAGGGTTCCTGTGGGAATCAGGCCCAATAAATACATTGTATCCTTTGAAGCTTCCTCTGCTTTGCTTTGTATAGCCCTGGTGATGTGAACCCGATGTTTAAGTTCAGGGCATAAGGAGTAAACTCCTTGTCTCATGACACACGTCTTACAGACCCTCTGGCATCACCATGACTCACAGACCCTGACCTATGACAGATCTCTGTGTTCCTACCTGTTTTTGTATGACTGTAGCCTTCTGGCATTGATTGATGAGCTATGCATGTATGCTGTACACACCATTACACACCATTCCTGATAAAAGCAGTTTGGGAGAAGGGATCCTGGCGTTTCCCACTAGAGGGAATCACCACCGCCTTTCCCGCCAGAACAACAAGGTTGTGTCCGGGACGATTTATTTCTCATCCACGGCAACATGGAGGAGCTCTGCGGGACGGAGTTCCTCCCCTACCCCCACCCTTTCTCTTTCTCTAAAATCAGTAAGTATATTCTCACATTAGGATTTTTTTTAAAGTCGAACATACCAAAACACAAATTTTAATGGCAAAAAACCTGCTACTGAGAACTCAACAACAATATTAAGATGTCAACTCAAGATCCAAAAAGTCTTTATGGCAAGCCAGCCCACCAGCTGGAAGAAAGAGGTGTCCTGATTGGCAGCTGTGGTTTGTAAAAGGTCAGTCTTTGTACATGAAGGCCAGGAAGCATGAGAGGAGTAGTTGAATATGAAGGGAAGAGGAGGGGAGGGGAGGGGGTAGGGAGGGGAGAGGAAGGAAGAAGCATTTGTAAAAAAAGGGAAACTTTCAAGAGACACAAACGTGAGAAGCTGTGGAGACTGGAAGTGAGGCTGTCACTGCAGAGACAGGCGTAGATCTTCCAGGGCATGGAGAGCATCAGACGTTCGGACGGTCAGAAAAGAACCAGCGACAGAGAAGACAGAGCAGCAGCTCTGCAACTCACTGTCTTCGCGCTCGGGGACACGGAGGAAATGTCTCCTGTGCAGTGGGCGCAACAACCGGTTCCTCCCATATACCCCTAAAAGCAGCAACCCGTGCCCCCACCCCCCGCCACGCTGGTCCTGTTAATAAACGTTACTCAGCCTGAGGAATAAGCCTGAGAAATGCTCCACGCTCTGGCTGTCCCCATAGTCCCTTCTTAGAGATTCATAACACCTCTTCGCCTACTTTAGGGCTCAAGAAGGTCCTGCAGGGAAACAACCAAATTAAGTCCCCAACCTCCAACTCTGTTTGAGCTACAGTTTCCCAAACGTATTTGAATAGAGACTACCAGTTAACAGAAACACACTTTGGGAAACGTCCTAAGTATATGAGTAAGTAGCACTGAAGGAACACCAAGGAGACCCTTCGGTACTTAGAAAAGCAACACACTCATCTAGGACCACACTGCAGTAACAAGTTGAATCACGCCTGCAATATTTGGCTTTTAACACCAAAAAATTGGGACAATATTTTTTGTTCCCTGATTTATGAATGTATTTATATTAAAAAATAGTGGAGGAGCTAGAGCTCTGGTGGGTGTGGACATCAGACAAGTTACTTAATCTTTCTAAGCCTTAGTTTTCCCATCTACCAAGTGGGGGGAGGGGTGTAACAACAGTGTTGCACAATCACTCCTCCAGGGTTTTCTCAGCCTCCTCTCAGCCCTGCTGGGCATGCCAAGAATGCAAGGCCCTAACCAGTTTCTCCCTGAACATTGCTCAAGGCTGTATTTGCCGAGAGCCATCCTGGGGGAGGAACTACCGTGTCCCTCTGGGACAAAGAGCAGGCTTGCTCCCAGGCTGCTGTAAAGCAGTGTGTTTCCCGGGCTCCTCGTCCCTCTGCTGTAGGGTGTTCCACCAAGGGGGTGGGCTAGGGCCCCCTGCCGCACCCCCTGCAGGAACTGGGGCTCAGGGAACTAATGTAAAAACGCTCAGGCTCTGGCGGCTGCTTTTGCTGTGAGTGATAAAAGTCTTTTGTCTCTGACTTTGGTATCTCGTGTCTTCTATCAGCATCCATGAAATTATGGCAAGCTCAGTTATTAGTGAGTGGGTAGAAAAAAATCAGATCCTTAACAGTTTTGACAAATAGTACTTGTCTCACAGAGTTTTTGTGAAAAGTAATATTATAAAGCAAGTAATGTGCTTACTGCTGTGTCTGGTACTCAGGATGGTTTTGACAAGCATAAACTATTGACAGCTATTATAAAAACTATTATTGAGGAATAAAAATTAGAGCTGGACATTTAATGAATCACCTTGATTAAGAAAAATAAAATCCCAAGAAACTATTAAATTCTCTTCAATTTAAAAACAGATGAATTTTCAGTTATAAAGTGCTAACTAGCCATATTTCACATCTCTACGATGTATAAAACAGGCTAAGGTATCAGCCTAAATGACTCTGGCTGTGTGTTAAAATATGTTACCGAGTCTGTACATACCAGTTCTTTTGCTTCTTCGAGCTGTTTCTCCACATTGGCAACCATCTGTTTCTTCTCATCTGAAACAATATCAGAAAACTGCTAAGAATATAAATAATTTAGTATTTAGAAATCTCTATTTCTGTATGACTTCTGTAGGAGTCAGATGAGATGATTACCACCTCGGGCGACCGACCATGTCATTCTCCGGCATGTCAGAAACCACTCTGGAGCCACTCATGCTAGGCTATCTGGAAACACATACCCTAACAGAGTGCCCGAGTGATTATGAGATGCCACAACATTTTAAAGAGAAACCAAAAATTATTTTGTTCTTTAGAAGAGACTGTGTCAACAACAGCAGATTTAGTGGTAGCATGAGGAATCTGCAAAGTCTTAATGATAATAAACGGAGAATAACTGATGTACAAATACAATTTAAAACCTGAGAACCACAACCCAGGCATGTGCCCTGACTGGGAATCGAACTGGTGACCTTTCGCTTTGTGGGATGATACCCAACCAACCTAGATACACCAGTCACAACTGGATTATCTTTCATTGAAATAAGCTGATACAAGTGAAATTACTTTTAAAATGGGAAGTGCCACATCTCTGTATATGGTTTGCTCAAACTCTACCAAAATCAAGCTATAACCGAGCTGTCATTCCCTTTTCCAGAAGAGACATGTCCTGGCAGGTATTTTCAAAAAACATTCCCCTACTCTCATTCTAAATCATTTGTTTTTGTTAAAGTTGAGTTTCTGCGATGTGGAACCAAAACGATTACTGACTGACTAGTATAACAGACTAGAAAAGTGCAATTTGAGCCCTGGTTGGCGTAGCTCAGTAGATTGAGAGTGGGCTTCTAACCAAGCATCACAGGTTCGATTCCCAGTCAGGGCACATGCCTAGGTTGCAGGCCATGACCCCCAGCAACCGCACATTGATGTTTCTCTCTCTCTCTCTTTCTCCCTCCCTTCCCTCTCTAAAAATAAATAAATAAAATCTTAAAAAAAAAAAAAAGAAAAGAAAAGCACAATTTGAGGTGAGCATAACACCTACTAGCTGACTAGCCCATCACTGGAATAGTCAACACTAAGTGGGGACTCTTCAGTAGGAATTATTATTTCACGAGAATAGTAATTATGTTCTGCTAACCCCAAACCTGTCCTTTTACAGGGTAGCTGTCCTATGTTTTATGTGTACTCTAAATATGTTTCCCTAAAAAAAAAAAATGCACATTTGGAATTAAAATTCAATTTGATTTCTTCTCTTTGAAAAAGTTAAACCTACAATAGGGCCAAATTAAACTTTTAGTACATGGCCCCAAATTTATGTGCTTCCGGCACACGTCGATCTCCACAAGATGGAGTAAAACCGCACTATATTTCTGTGACAGAGCAGAGTGTAAGTTAAGGCAAGCCCCTCTTGGGCCAAGAGTGAGATTCCGTATTTAAAGAGCGGAAGGAGCATCTTGTTTTCCTTAAGGCACTCAGCTGTTAGGCCAGTCCATGCCCTGGGCCTCCAGGACTGACGGACACCAGGTTTCCTCATTAATGAGGCAGACAGAAAAAGCAGCCTCCCTTGACCTCTGCTCCCCTTTGCCACTAACGCCTCTCTCCTCCCAGCCACAGTCACGCTTCCCTGCCTCCTCTCCCCAGTGCCTCCCTGTAGCCTTGCCCGCACCCCACCACTCCACCGGAGTGACCTTCACTTAAGGCTCAGACCTCTCCTTTGCCCAGACTAATGGACATTCCATGTTCTATTTTTATTTAATCTCGTGGCACCTCGCATGCTGCTCCTCCCAGCCTGTCACTGTCTCCTCTCCTGGCTGCAATGACACTTCCGTCTCAGTGTCCTCTGCTGCTCATCCTCTTTTTCAGCCCATCCTTTAACTGTTGCTGATCCTCGGCATCTAGCCCTTGCTGTTTTCTCTTATGACTGTCATCTGTGCCCCGGGCAATTGCATCTGCTCCCATTTAGTAACCTTCATATTCCCTATTTATGAGCCTAAATCTTTATCACTAATCCTGACATACTTCCAGGACTCCACCCCTTTAATCCCAATGTTTATGCCCACCTCCATGGTAATCACCTGGCAAATTGCTATTCAACACTCTCTTCAGAAATCACTACCTCTGTGAAGCCTTTCCTACCCAACAAAAAGAGCCCCACGTTTTCACTTACATAAAACAGCTATACCTTTCACCTCATCTTAATGATTTCTCTCTCCCACTCACCAGTCTGATTTACCTTCTATCTTGGAGGCTCTGGGAAGACAGGAACTCTGTTTTAAACATCTTCATAATTGTAAAATCCAGCACTGAGCCTGGCATATAATCAATTCTCAAAAAGTGATATTAATAGAATAATAAATAATAGAGGCCAGTGCAAGTACTTGCAAAAGAAACTACGCTACCAACCACTCTGGTTTCCTGGTCTCCACTCTGGCCACCCTCTCCCATCTAATCGCCCTACAATGTCGCTCTGAGTGGATCACTTGAGCCTAGCAGACAAGGTCCTCCATACTCCAAACCCAGGCAACCTTCCCAACTTTGACTCCAGCAACCAGCTCTCCAGTGTGCACTCCATATGCTAACCAAACAGACCATCCATCACTGCCCAAACCAACCTCTTTTTTCCCCGTGCTCTGTGCCTTTGTTCAAGCCACCACTTAGGGTTCTTCAGTCAACTATAACAGAACTAATTCTGGTTCATCTAAGCCAAAGGGGGAGGGGTTGTTTATTAGAATAATATGGGGTGGCTCAGCAAGTCAGCAGAAAAAAGAGCCCACAAGCTCAAGAAGCACAGTCCCCAGGGTGGCCCAGGGCACCAAGGGAGCAGAAACCCACTGGCTGTCCCTGCAATAAGGAGTCTCAAGCAGCAATACGATGGATCAGTGTTGAGACTCCTTCCGAAGGGCTCTCTTCTTGGCTCACTCTGCTCAAAATTTAAATTCCCAGCAAAAATTCTCTGGATGTCCTTGCATGGTAACTCGTTCACCTCCTGACCCAGACAGGGCACAACAGCCAGTCAGTTCCACCAAGACTGGGTTCAGGTGGTTCCTCGCTGGAAAATGGAGGTGCTGCCATCAAAAGATAAAGCACAGGAGTCTGGACAATCGGAAACACAGGTGTCCAGTGCGCCCACTTATTGCAATTGTTGATAAAATGCTCTTTCCCCGGTTTTATCTGTTGAGTCCCACCTACGCTCCCAGGTGATCTCCTGGGCCACAACTGGTCCCTTCTGAATCCCTAGACCTCTGTGCTCTGTCTAGTGGCCCTGATGGTCATTAGAAACTGGTTTTCTCTGAAGCCTCATTTCCAGCTCCGTGAAGATAGGGCCCACTTTTGCCACATCTTTGTCTGAACTTGGTATGCAGCACAGAGAGCGCACTAAGTAGCAATGAGCAGGCGTGGTGTCCGGACCTTGGTTTCTCACCCCAGTTTTCAGTAAAACGAAACAGGACTCCCTGGGAAATGGCTGATTCCGGGACACGCTTAGGAAAAATACAAGATGATTCTGGAGTATCTTCTAACAGGTAAGAAGGTAAGGATGCACTTAAAAGGAAAAACAGCCCTGCATGATGGGGGTGTATCGAAAGGCGACAGAAGCCAACCAAAATAGCTCTCCATGGTCAAAGCTGGGACAGTCTGAGCAACAAAAGAAAGTAGCGCTGGAATGTAAGACGAAGCGCAGAACTACTGTCATGAGGCCATATATATGAGTAACTGAGTAAGTAAGTAAACTGAGGACAGACAAAACTCTCCTGTAAAGAGGAGTGCCAAGCAATTTACACAGATACTAAGTCTTTAAGGAGGTGGAACACAACCCTCACACCTTAAGTTTGGGCAATGCACAGGCTTTCCTTCTGAACAGCATGGAAAAGGAGGAAGATAGTAACTTTCACTGTACAGAAACCAGACCAACACTACCTCAGCCAGGTGATCAAAGCTCACACGGGTGCTAAGTTCCATTACAGTGTGTACTCTTGATACGGTGTGATGGAAAGGATGCTCTGCCTCTGTTGTCTTCCTCCCCAAAAACCTATAACCCCAGTAGGACCATGAGAAAGACATCAGGCAAATCCCAAGGGAGGTACATTCTCTGAAAGATCTGACCAGTAACTCTTCTAAACTGTAAAGTCATTGAAAGCAAGGGGAAGCCTGAGAAACTGCCCCAGCTAAGAGGTACCTAAGGAGCATGGCTACCAAATGTTTTATAGAATCCTGGATCGGGCCCTAGAACACTGAAAGGACATTAGATAAAAAACTAAGGAAATGTGGATAAAATGAGGACCTCATCTAATAATAATGTATCCCCATGGGTTCACTGGCTGCAACATATTTAACGTACGACGTTAACAAAGGAAGCTGTGCATGGGGTATAGACGGATTCTAATCATTATCTTCCTTTCATATAAGTCTAAACCTGTTCTAAAATTAAAAGCTTATTTTAAAAAATCAATGAAGTCATTATTTAGGTTAAATAGGTTATTGAAGGGAGAGAGGTCCCCCCTGGGATTAGAGTGTGGTTGTGTGTACGTAACTCAAATCCTACCAACTCTACTTCAACTTACTATGCCCCTGAACTTCTGAATTAAAACTGGAACCATCCCTTCAACTCTAACTCTGTAGAACAACAGAAGTGTAATGCATGCAAGTCACACGTAATTTTAAATTTTCTAGTAGCCACATTTGAAAAAGTAAAACGAAACCAATGACATTAGCTTTAATAATCTTTTTAGTTTGAACAACATTGAACTCGAAACATCCAAAATATTTTCATTTCACTAGGTAGCCACATTCCAGGTGCTCAAGAACACCATGTACACACTCAGTGCCACAGCCACGTGTATTTTAAGTAAACCACGTTATTCATAAATAAAGGTAGACTTTTTCAAGTCTCTCACTACAACCACCTTGCAGAGGCAAGAGGAAATCATGGAACGACATTTGTGGCTTCTTCCGTACATAGCTATGTCTGGTCTCCAAAAGTCTCCGGGGCTTAACATGACCAATCAGTGAGACTTGAGCATTGCCTCCCATAAAGGATGCTGTCCAGTCCCAAAACTTCCAGTTCTCTCCCCTGACTCCTTCCTTGATATCCCAAGTTAAAATCGCAATTCCAGCTTCATATCCTGAAGTCCCTTCCTTTGTCTGCCTTCAAGGGTAGGGAGAGAGACTCACCTAACTCTAGTGTAAGCACAGAAAGGAAGCAAGAATTGAGGTCCCAGTTTCCTTTAAAAGTTCAATTAATATCACAAAGTCTGAGGAGGTGGGCCCTGAATAACCCTACTAGCTTTTGCCTTCAGCAGTAGCACTAACATCCATCACTAATGGCTAATTCATCATGTACATTCTCTGGGGGGAAAAAATGCGCTAGTATGTTACATGTTTCATTTCACCTGATTTTACAGCATTGCAAGTTTGAAACCAATTCTTCCCTCTTCTGCCAGTTTTACAGATGGAGGAAGCAGGCTCAGAAAGGCCAGGCAATTGGCCCCAATTTGCACCTCTGGTACAGAGAGGGGATCCTAAACAGACCTGATGCCACGTGTGAATCTAACCAACTTGCCATCATAGGTTTCTTGGTGTTTCTGACTTATAGCCACAAAGTGGTAGGATTCACAATAGACCATTTATCACTCTGTGAATGGTAACATATACAACTGACTGCAAGAGAACGTTTTGTTTAGGTCCTTCAGGAAGCCTGTCTGATGTAATGGAACCTCTGCACCTGTAACGTATCCCTTGAACTTGGAACTCATCCCCAGGGGAAAAGGAACTCCACAATTAGTATTTGTTATGGTTTCCACTCATCCATTTCCCTGATGGGACCACAGAACACTAATCATTAAAATCAAATTTCAAATACAGTATGACAGAGTATTACCTAAGAAGGGAAGATCCATCTCATTAGTCCAATTTCTAAAATTAGTCAAGATTGAAACACTATAGTCTAAGAGCAAAGTCTTTTTATTGTTTAAAATATACCACAGAGCAATTAAATTTCTCTTCCAAAATAAAGTTTTAAAATATTCAATCTTTTATATTCTCATTGGAAGTAACACTTTAATACATTGTACATGCACAGCAGAGAGTAAAGTTAATTGCAACCAATCCTACTCACTCTACTTCAATTTTTTAAAAGATTTAATTTATTTACTTTTAGAAAGAGAGGAAGGGAGGGAGAAAGAGGGAAACATCGATGTGTGGCTGCCTCTTGAGTGCCCCCTACTGGGGACCTGGCCCACACCCAGGCATGTGTCCTAACTGGGAATCGATCCAGCAACCCTTCAGTTCGCAGGCTGGCACTCAGTCCACTGAGCCACACCAGCCAGGGCTCTAGTTCAATTTAAATAAGTTAATATGTTGGAGAATGAACTGCTTTGGCTAAAAAGTTTGTTCCAATTTTTAACCTTCTTAACTGAAGTAAATCATAGTTCATCTCCTCTACGTCAACCACTAAAGATGCCCAGAGAAAGAGATGATCATTTCTTTTAACCATACTGTTTTTGCTATGTTAATTTTTGTTAGTCCACAGGCGTATATCTGAAAGTCATAACTACGCAGATATATTTTTGTCTTTTTTTATATATCAATTAGAAACAGGTTGTCAAGTGAGCAAGCATAAGTAATTACTAAGAGAGAAACCACTGCATTTTAAAGAATTACTGGTATTCAATAACTTAAGTCAGGAGGCATTCTTCCAGCGTCAGCCATGCAGTCTCCTTTCCATGTCACTGCAGCTGCTGTGTGTGGGCCTCACGTTACACTATAGCGAAGGAGAGTCGGGCTTTATTTTTTAAATACTTAATTCCAAGGTTTCCCTCTATGTGGTAAGAATGGTTACATTAAAATATAAAGACAAGAAAAAATAAACTTCGGCACAACCTGTTTCCTTGGAAACAGTTTTTACAACTTTGAACCTAGGGATGACTTTGTTACTTTACAACACAACTTCCAAGTACAAAAGCAATCATCTCAAACAAACAACAATGTTCCTATTGCTAAAACTATTACAGGTAAAAATGAGCAAAAATTCCAACTAAAACCATACATCCTGTTACTCTGAGGCTCTGGGACTGAAGTCAAAGGAAGTAGTCTCCAACAACAAAGACAACAAAAATCAAGATGATCTTGAGCAGTGCAGAAAAGCGGAACTGAAGAGAAGAGGCGAGGTGATGTATCATGAAGTGGTGAGGCCATCAGCCACTTTATCCACAAAAATCTCCGAGGCAGCCGAGCTGGGTGGAATAGGCTACCTTGGTTCTCTCCTCTTGTCCCCTCACTTGAACTCATAAACCTCTTTAAGACATCATCCACCTCCTCCAGAACTAACTGAGACTTCAGGAGATGAGTGGGGTGTAAGTTCAGAGATCCTGGCTTCAAGGAAATATCCCTATTAATAGAAAATAGGTGGGGAAAGAAAAACAAAGAAATAAAGGAAAATATTATTTATAAACACGTAAGTTTGGGGGAAGGCAGGGAAACAGGAATGACAGCTTGGGCCCAGGAGAAATTATTGCTGGCATCGGGACTGACTAATAAGGTGAGACGGTGAAGTTGCCCACCAGTTCACAGATCAATGAGCCCTCCCTTTCCTATGCTTTACACCCCAGAGCTAAGGCAGGGCCAAGTCTAGCATCCCAATGATTGTTCAGTTTCCCTAACACGAGGAAGCCAAAAGTAACAATCTTATTCAGAAATAACTACTCAAATTAAATTTGTATTAAGAGAAACATAAGTCCCCAAACAATGTCTTACAAATAAAAATCATGAAATGTCACATTTATATATTTGTTTATTTACTTAAACGTTTTTACCTGAGTCCCTTCTAAATAAGTGTCAATGAAATCAGACATGACTTCCATTTTCACACAGTTAGTCTAGCATAAAAGAAAGACATGCTAAAACACAAAAACAAAAAATATATACATTTCTGGAAGGAAGTTGTGGAATTTTAAAAGTGAGAGAGATTATCCTGTACCAAGTTTTACATAAAATTGGGTTACGGAGTCTTTGAATAAGAATGAGAAATAATAAATGGGGCTGGGGTATGAAAAATAGTAATGGTAATAGCAGCTAACACCAAGGAAAGGTTTTACATGTTAATTTAATCTTCACAACAGCCTTATGAGAGACCTACAATTCTCCCCATTTTACCAAGAAGGAAAGTTGAAAGAGGTTAAGAAACTTGCTTAAATGTCAAAACTTCTACGTAGCAAAGCTGGGATTTGAATTCAGGCACCATGGCTCTTTTAACCCTGAATTGCTTCGGGTAATAATAACGTCATTACTAACAAAACAACGTCAGACCCTTAATCTAGGTACTTTCATTCATTCTTTTTAGAACACTCTCACATCTCCCTGTTATACAAACGAAAACAAACAGGCAAAACCAAAAACCAAAACTAAGACTCAGAAAAACATTCCCAGGATTATGCAAGTAACAAGGCGGCAGAGTTCGGACTGGAGCCCAGAAGGGGTCTGTTGGCTGCACCCAACCCACCATGGGCTATCCCTTTAACCTCAACCAAGGGAAGTTCCATCCGTCCGGGAAGGCCCCGTCACCACTTCATTCCTGCCTCGCGCCTCAGAGACACACTAGTTCAGACGGCGTTCCATCACCAGAGCCTCCCGGCTCTGCGAGCCACCCCGGCTCAGGTGGGGCAGGGCTCTTACCCGGTGGGAGTCGAGGGACCCTGGCAATCTTGCTCGTGATCTCTGCAGTGAGCACCGCGAAGTCCTGCTCGTAGCCTTCGAAATCCGACGACATGGCGGCTCCGGAGTGACAGACCCGGGCCGGAGCCTAGGTCCGGGCAGGGGGTCAAACAAGTAAGGGAACGCGGTGAAGGGATTCGGAACCGCCCTCCAAAGCAGAGCGGAGAACCCGGGACAGCTCCCAGCCCGGCCGCTTCCTGGTTGTCCGTCGCAATCTTGGTCCCCCGGAATTGGGGTTGGTATGCTTTCTTTTTTCCTATCAGACTTCAAAACTAACAAATTCTCTAAGGAAAAGCACGTTAATTAGTGCACCCAAAAGTCTCCAAAAATATCCTTCTTTTAGGGGAGGACTGATTTTTTTTTTAACCCTTCCACGTTCTGGAACGCGGCTCCAGCTCCCCAAGCTGCACGTCACGCGAGCTAGCTTCCGGTGGAAAGTTTGATGCGGCGAACCTCCCGGAAGTGGCTCTCACGGAGACTGCGCACCCAGCCCGAGCGGGGGAACTGCGGCTAGAGTGCTGGCTGAGAGATAGACGAGTCGTGTCGCGTCCGCACCCCAGCCTCTAGCAAACAGGATTTGCTTTCTGCTTGCTGTGAACTGAGGTACCCATGATGGGCTTAGCCGAAAAGGACAAAAGCTGTTCCGGGTGAGCCCAGGCCGCCCCGGAAATGCGATGGCCGAGGAGCGGGCACCAAGGACCAGAATGAGGTGGGAGTCAAGGCAGGGGACGTAAACCATGGTTTTGGCGGTCTTCACTCCACCCGAGTGAGACCAGAATCTTCAGTACTCTGGGGCCAGCCACGCTTACAAGGATGACCCCCCCACCCCCCTCCGCTTAAGGGAAGATTTCTTAAAAGCTCTGCCTCATGACACGGGCGGGAAACAGGCACAGGGCAGCGGTATCTGTTGCGTGGAAGTTATTACCCTTGTGTCTCAGATCTTCTTTCCTTGACTCACTGCAGTTCTATCATAAATACCCGTCTACAAATCTTCCCTGTGCTCGCAGAAGGCACTTCCTCTTCTTTTTTTCTAAAATACTCTCATCCATGTTCTTTTTTCATATACGCCTCCAGGCGCGATTTCACACACACCTCTGGCTCCCCTCTCCTTGCACCCTGTCTTTGCTTTAACTCCCTCGCTTCCTTACCTTTGGCCTTTCTGTTGGGGTTTGGGGGGCAACCGCAGGCAAATAATGTAGACCATGTCTGGCTCGTAGCTGGCTTAATTCAAGACTCGGAAGGCGGTAGTTTAGAAGTCCGTCAACAGAGTTGAACGACTTGGTTTAGCTGTTAGGTTTGACCTTAATCACGTAGCCTCTCCAAACCAATTTCTATGAAGCTGGGTTAGATCAACTCTAAAGTGCTGTTTCCCAGCTCTAAAATTCTTTGTTTCCTCAAACCATTGGCTAAATGTTGGACGGTCACAGCCCCCAGACTGTGGCATTACATGCCATTTAGGCCTGAACCCTATTTTGCGTAAGATAAAAATAGTGGGTGGTTTTTTTTTTTTGTTTTTTTTTTTGGCGTTTGACAAGTTATTCATCCCATGGTAGTGCACTTGTGAGATGCTTTTGTTTAAGTGGTTATGGGACTTTACTATGTAATAATTTTTTTTTACTGATCTTTTTCATTTTGTTTTCTTTAGATTGAGTTTCGGACCAAGACACTGGATTCTCATAGCTCAGAGAGCTCTGAGTATGTAATGGTGAAAGTGGCATAGTCCGCATTAACATCGCACAGAAGACATGGCAGCTCAGGAACACACGTGGACTTGTAGTGCATGGAAATGTGTGCACAGAAAAAGGAAGTCTGTAATTCTTTAAAGATAGGAAGACATTCTTCCTTACCAAAATGGGCTCATCTTCCTCAGTTATCAAGTTTGAAAACCTCCAAGAATTAAAGAGACTATGTCATTGGGGTCCCATTATAGCCCTTGGTGTTATAGCAATATGTTCTCTGATGGCCATGATTGACTCTGTGTTGTGGTATTGGCCTTTACATACAACTGGAGGAAGCGTGAATTTCATCATGTTGATAAACTGGACTGTCATGATTCTTTATAATTACTTCAACGCTATGTTTGTTGGTCCTGGCTTTGTCCCCCTGGGATGGAAACCGGTAAGAAAAAGATCCCTTTAAAGAATGAATTCTAATAATAATCTGATAATTTAGTTTTTGCTTTATCTTCACCAGTAATATCACACAGATTACTTTTTTGCCTTGCTACAGACTAAGTGTATTGTAATCATTGGCCATTTAAATCTCAGGTGGTTTATTTCATATCTCTTTAAGAATATTAATCTAAATTTGTATTTCCTAAAGCAATTTCATTGAATACTTGTCTTGCATTTAAAAAAAAAGAAACGAAGGGGTGATGGTGAGTACATGGTCATAAGTTTAGGAAAAACTGCATACACAGATACCTTCCTTATAATTTCACAGTGCAGTTTGGCTGTAGAATCTTTTTGTCCGTAATACATTAACATCCTCAGAACTGGGAAAAACTCTTTAGAAACTCTTAGTTTAAGACAAAGTTTTTAAATCATTGCAGTGAAAATGAGGAAGTGCAATATGAATCAATTTATGGCTTCTTAAAATTTGTTAGAAAGTTTATGCTTATGGATTTCCATATTCCTTGTTGAGGGACATCACCTGGTAGTGTGTTAGAAATGCAGAATCTTACAGGAGAAAAACCTAGCCGATCTACGGAGGAACAGAACAAACACTCAGCAGTACCCCAGCATATATGGAAATAAGAGACCAAAAATTGTAGTGGACACTGGAAAACCAGACAGTAAGGAGAGTGCTTCAGGACAATAAGGTCCCAGGGACCACCTCGGGGACCAGGACGGCTGCAGCTCCAGGCCCGGCACCCGCCCCTGGGTCTGCCACCGAGTCCTTGGGGGAGAGTTGGGTCAACTGCTCCCTCCCTACCCGGCCAATCAAGGTTTAAACAGCACCGGGAGAGACCTGATTGCTTGAAGTTGCAGAGAGGGGAATAAGGACAAAGTGGCAAACACAGGGGCTGTGGTCACCCGTGGAGTCTGTGGACACTGGCTTGGGAGAGTTGAGAGTCACGCGGTGACGGGCACTGACCCGGATAGTCACCAGTCTGGCTGGAAAATTGGGCTGTACAGAGCGGCAGCCTTGAGTAGGAGGAATGTCTCAAAAAGAAAAACTCTTTGGGGTATTCTCCTAGAAGCCACTCGGTCTCCTCCCCACCCAGCTTGGCAGCGATCCTGAGGTTGTGCAGAAGTTTGCCCACAAGGCCCCATGCACCCCCATAGCACTGGGAAGAGTGCAAGCCTGCACCCCAGCCCACAGTGGTAATCCCAGGGAAAGGGTGCACTCAGGAAGACCTGGATCCCACACCCAAGGCTCCAGGGAGAGGAGCCAGGCTAGCTTTGGAGAGAGCGTGCGCAAGACTGGCTGAGTGCAGATTGGGAAGGGAGAAAAGCCATACCAATTGCCCCTTAGCCTGCTGCAGCCAGCAAAACAAAAAAAACCTGGTTTGGCCAGTTTGAAACCAACAAGAGGGTTTTTTGTGTTTGTTTTTTTTTAAGTAATCTTTTATTTTATTTTATTTATTTTTATTTTATCTTTCAATACCTTTTTCCTCTCTGTCTTTCCTTCCTTCTTTCTTTCTTTCTTTCTTGTTTTATTCCTTCTTCCTTTCTTTCCAATTTTATCTTTTCTTCCTCCCTTCTTCTGCTTTTACTTTCTTTAAAAAAAAAAAAAATACCCACAAGTGAAACAAAAAAAACCTGGAACTGTGAAAAGACCAGAGTTGGATCTAAAGAGTGGGCATCCCAACAGTTGAGACAGTGAAACAGATTTCACTTTGTTCTTACACAGAACCTGCAAGTTATTGCATATTTGTATTATTAATTTTTCTCATTATTCTTATATCTTTTATTTTAATAGTATTTATGTATTCTTTCTCTTACTCTTCTTTCTGTATAGTCTTCTTTGCTTGGCTGGTTATATTGTATCATTTGACAAATTTCCCTGTTCTCTTTCATACTGTATTGCTAATTTACTGCTCTTCACGTCACTTGTGTTCCTTAGCACTCTACTCAAGGTCCTATACTCCCTATTCTTGTTATCCAGATCACATAGGTTCTGCCATATGATTGTTGCTCTAATATTATTGTAAATAATCACTGTTCCATACAATTGTAAATACTACACAACACCCATCCCAGATCTTAGCCCACTTCACAGTTTCCCGAACTCCATTACTGTAGTGGTTAACTCTATTCTCTCACACACTACACCTATTTACTATCCTTTACTCTAACCTTACCACAGAATCTGACTACCCACAACCTCACTGCTTTGTAGATCCAACTCACAATCCTTCCTTCCCCAACAAGAGTCTTATCTTCTTTCCACCCTTTCTAAAAAGTGGCTAATTGGGTAGAAGATCACGGTTAACACTATACATAGCCAAAGGATCTCCTATCTCATCTCTACTGGCTGCTACTGTAAATATCATAGAATACTCTCTTGCTATCTTAAACCTTCTGCCTTCCCCTTCCAACTGATGACAAAAAGGAGTAGGCGGAAGCGGTGAACACCAGGATACCCCCTGGAAGAGGGAACCCAACAACAAAGGAACCACCAACAGATAACAACAGAAGAAGGTGAAGGAGGCAGTGGAAACCACACAAACTTCAATCCAGGACCTATCTGGAATTACAACTAAATAGTGGAGAAAATACCTAGTACAAACATCTGAACAAGAGCAAGAGAGAATCCTCAAAACCTTGTACACACAGAAGAACCAGCTTCAACACAACCTGCCCTCACCAGCGCAACAAAATAAAAGAGGTGGTGAACAGAGTGACTCTCAGTTAACCAGCTGGTGGGAAGGACCCACCAAAGAAAGACCCAACAACAGTCAAAGCCCAAAGACAAACACAGAACCAACTTAAATGACAGTCCAAGATCAGTGAGCTCAGAGATCAAGGAGACCACACCACTGAATCTCACAGGTATTCTACCACAGAAGTTCACACCATAAACCCAGGGAGCCAGGACAGATCAATTTAAGAAGCCAAAGCTAACAAGAAGGGTCTCACAAACAATGAGAAGACAAAGAAACAATCCCCAAATGAAAGAAAAGGAGGAAGCCTCAGAAAGATGCTAAATGAAATAGAGGCAACTCAACTATCAGATATTGAGTTCAAAGCAATGGTTATCAGAAAGCTCAATGCGCTCACAATGAGCTATCAGAAACTACAGGGAAACTACAATGAACTGAGTGCAAACTATATCAACATGAAAAAAGAAATAGAAACTGTTAACAAGGTCCAAGAGGAAATGAAGAATACAATTTCTGAACTGAAGAACACCGTAGAAGGAATCAAAAGCAGGATCAATGAAGCGGAAGATTGAGTCAGTGAGCTAGAGGACAAAGAAAAAAACACCCAGAAAGAGCAAGAAAAGGAAAAGAGGCTCAGAAAGAATGAAGAGGGATTAAGAGAAATGCAAGACAATATGAAACGTAATAATATCCATATAATAGGGATACCAGAAGAAGAAGAAGAGCAAGGAATAGGAAACCTATTTGAAAAAGTGATGATGGAAAACTTCCCTAATTTGGTGAGAGAAAAAGTCACACAAATCCAGGAAACACAGAAAGTCCCAATCAAGAGAAACCCAAAGAGGCCCACTTCAAGACACATCATAATTAAAATGGCAAAATTCCAAGACAAAGAGAGAATCTTAAAGGCTGCAAGGGAGAAACAGGAAGTAACATACAAGGGAGCCCCAATAAGGTTAGCAGCTGACTTCTCAATGGAAACACTCCAAGCTGGAAGAGAATGGCAAGAAATATTCCAAGTATTGAGAACCAGAGGCCTTGCAACCAAGACTACTTTATCCAGCCAGGCTCTCAATCAAGATAGAAGGCCAAATAAGGAGCTTCCAGGACAAAAGAAGTCTAAAAGAATACAACTCCACCAAACCAGCTCAGCAAGAGATGCTAAAGGGACTGATCTAAGGAAAGGAAGGAAAAGAGACAGAGAGGAACACAGGTATGAAAATGGCAATGAATAAGTACCTATCAATAATAACCTTAAATGTAAATGGATTAAATGCTCCAATCAAAAGACAGAATAGCTGAATGGATAAGAAAGTACGACCCACACATATGCTGCCTACAAGAGACCCACCTCAGGACAAAAGACCTACACAGACTGAAAGTGAAGAGCTGGAAACAAATTTTCCTAGCAAACAGACAGGAAAAAAAGCTGGGGTAGCAATACTCATATCAGACAAAATAGACTTCAAAAAAAGGGCCATAAAGAGAGACCCAGAAGGTCACTTCATAATACTCAAGGGGAGAATCCACCAAGAAGACATAAATATTGTAAATGTATATGCACCCAACATAGGAGCACACCCAAATAGATAAAGAAAATCTTAGAGAACTTCAAGAAAGATATTGACAGCAACACAATTATGATAGGGGATTTTAACACCCCACTGTCAAAAATGGACAGATCTTCCAAACATAATATCAACAAAGATATTGTGGCATTGAACAATGCCCTAGATGAAATGGATTTAGCTGATATATATGGAGTCCTTCATCCCAAAGAAGCTAAATACACTTTCTTTTCAGATGAACATGGAACATTTTCAAAGATAGACCACTTGATAGGACACAAAACAAGCCTCAACAAATTCAAGAAAATTGAAATCATACCAAGCACTTTCTCCGACCACAAAGGACTGAAACTAGAAACCAACCCCAAGGGGAAAAACCCAAAACACTCAAAATCATGGATACTGAATAGCATGCTATTAAACAATGAATGAGTCAAGAATGAAATTAGGGAAGAAATCAAAAAGTTTCTGGGAACAAACAAAAATGAACTCACAACAACCCAAAACTTACGGGACACAATGAAGGCAGTTCTGAGAAGGAAGTTCATAGCAATACAGGCCTACCTAGAAAAGATAGGAACATTTCAAACAAACAACCTAACCCTACGCTTACAAGAACTTGAGGAACAACAACAAAGACAGCCCAGAGCAAGTAGAAGGAAGGAAATAACCAAGATCAGAGCAGAATTAAATGACATAGAGACTGAAAGCACAATTCTAAG